TATTTCTAAAGTATGAGCAGGCTGAGCAAATTAAGGTAGAACAGGTAAAGCCCTGCAGGATAGTTTGGGTCTTTAATGTATAAAAACAATTACATTAATCCCTCTGGCTCTCCAAAATTTCTACCTTTTTCCTTCAATACCAACCCTTGAAAGTAGTAGATCTCCTTTGACATCTATTGGATTGTAAATTCCAGCACAACTGGATGGCTAAATGCTTGTTGTGCATTCTAAAGTATGCGTCTGTCTTGACAGTGTATATCTCAACTCCTACAGAGCTTGTAGCTTTTGTTTTGTGTATGATAAACCCTAAAAATCAATCAGAATGCATTCTGTATAGTCATACCAGTCATTACCGAAAATTTAATATGCCAACCATTCTGTGTACAATAGCACAGTAAAATGATCACAGAAAAAAACCCCCACAAAACAGACAGACAGAGTTCAGATCTCTCTCTAACATATTATATGCCTACATGCTTTTGCTTGCTTAGGAATGTGAAAGTTTGGAAATAACTTAATTCCAAAAAAAGTCTTCAGCACACCCCTGTTGGACAAAAAGTAAACTGAGAGCAGAAGAACCTGAGCAGAACCTCCCTTTTCCTTTATTCAAAAACACTTTGTAAAATTACCTTCAGAGCACTAACAGAAAACTTAAAAATATTCTGTCCCTGGATTTCTGGGCATTGCTTCTGAATGTAGTTTATGACTTTCAAACTCAGATCAGATCATTCCAGAAAATAAGAAAATGTATCTGTCCGTTGACTCAACCATATTGGTAGATAAATATGTTAAATAAATTGTTAATAAATAACAATTTTTCATTTGGGCACTTATCATTCAAATATAAAACAAGAAAATGTAACGTCTGTGCATATCAGAACAGTTGGACAATTAACTGAATAGACACCAAAACAGGACAGTGGATTTGTTCAGGAAGTTCTTACAAGCCAGAATAGATTGGAACTATTAAACCTTGGAATAAATCCAAGCTAAGGCTCTAAAAACTACTTACATAAATACAGGCTTAGTTTTTAATGGAAACTGCTGCTTCTTCCTTTTACCAGTAAACTATGGGGCAGACTCACCACTGGTTGTTCCCAGAAACAAGAGCACAAGAAAAGGAGTAATTTGTAAAATGTTACTGGAAACCAAATGGCTTTGGCAAATGAATAGGTTTTCAAGTAAATCAGGTAATAGGCAATGTTATGAAATATCTGTTTAGAAAAGGGCATCCAGCACTTTTTTTTTCTAATACTGCAACACCAGATTTGCAAGATATTCCTGATTTAGTAATATTGCTCCTCAAGAGATAGGATAATAAATCACTATTTTCCCTACCAACTGGAAAGCACTGTTCTTATTGGAAGGCAATTTGAGTTTGAATGCTCACACATAACAAAAGAACTTCTTTCCAAAAGATACCTTTATGAAAAAGGAATATACAACCCGAGGGCAGTGGACAGTAGGGAGTGTTTTATCACACATCAAGCAAATTATCTCTCCATCAATTTCAACTATGTTAAGAATTGAAAGCTCTATTTTAAGATTTTGTATGAATCCAGTTAATAAATTGATGATAAGGAACAGAAGGTTACCTGGGCCATACATACAAAGCAGTAAAAAAACTCACAATGACATAAACAAATATTTTTGAGCAAGTTTCTACTAAAAGGCACTACAACTCATTATTTTGTGTCTTGGGAACACAGCCATTTCTATTTAAAACCAAAAGTAACTGATTTTTTTTTCTTTAAGGTAGATCTGGACAAACAGAAAGAAAGGTGGGGCCCATTTTATTTTCTTTCATCAGAAAATACGAAAATTATGGAAGCGATGGAATTTAAAAATAAATAAATCACATTGCATGACAGGAGGACATGTCTTTAAACTGACTTGATTTATCCGGGTAAGAAAATTGTACAAATTTCACATAAGTAAATCACTGGTGTCTAAAACCATCTAAAATGGAATACAAAATGCTAGTTTAACAAAGACCAAGGAAAGACCCTTAGGAGTTTGAGATCATTGTTTTGGAATCAAAACAAAAATAAAGCTAGCTATAAAATTACCACTTTGGAAGGCTTGCCTAATGGGGCAGCTATTAGACCTCATAAAGAATCAAGACATATTGCTGTCAGGTGCCCAAAACCTGCATAGAAGGCCAATACACTTTCTGCTAAAAAAAATATGAACAGTGGGACCAAGTAAAGGTTCAACTTAGAAAAGTGGGTCTAAGCAACAAAGTAATTTCTAAAACTTAAAAAAGTGTATCCAATATTTATCGCTCCCTTCATATATTTATATGCTCAAGTGTCATAACACCTGATATAATATTTACAGCGATTATTCCATATCATTCCACATTGATTCCACACTGTCACATGCTGTTTCTGCGGGCTATGAAAGTGAGAGAGAGATTTTTACAATTCCTGAATATTGTCTGTACAAAATATGGAGTCAACCCAAAAGATCAGATCCTGTCTGCAAATAATACACTGTATGCATGAACACGAAAGCTATATGGTACACAGTGCAACACATGCAGATTTATATACTTTTACTCTCCCTGCAAACTTCATAGCTAAATAGAGCAAGAAATGTCCAAGTAATACTGCAGTTTCAAATACATTCAGCTTGTTTCTACTCCCCCTCCCAATCCCCCAAAAAGCAATTTACAGCTGCACCAAACCATTCGCCAGACTTTCAGATTCTGGTAAACAAGTTTCTCCAGGGACAAATAAGAGCACTCACAAAGTTACAGCATTTTTCTTTCCAGTTTGCACTGAAATCTGCCAATATTTACATATGCAACAGCTGATTCAATCATTTTTTACAACACTGAAAGCGTTCAGTGAAGAAAAAAATTGAAGATATTCAGAACCTAAAATAGCATGGTTAAGTATTTCATTCTTTTCTTGGAGATTTTTCTATTGACTCCAATTAATCTTTTATGGGCTTGTGAACTTAAGAGATTTCTCTTCGTATATAAGAACTTGATTGAGCTAACGGGCCCTGCCAGCAGGTTGTTCCAAGCTTTATTTACAACACCTGGAATTTTGGGACCTTTTCTTAATTATTTCCTTGTGAATATTATATATATATATAAACGTATTGGATCACGCTAACAATGTCTCTTTTAGGGCCAATTTTACCCTTTTTTGGACGACACTCTCTTCTCCATTCACTTTATTTATAACTGTGCTTAATCATCAAGGAAATTTTCAGCACACGTTTAGCATGCAAAGCAGAATATTTCTGGGAAGAGTAAAGACAGGAGTAATAAAGAATTATGTGAACAGCTAAGGGTAAAAAGTTGATAGTTTGGAGAATACAATTTTTCCCCTTTCATAATAAAAGAGCAGGCATTCTCAAACCCTAGCCAAGACAGTGGTACTTAGAACCTGGTAAGTTCCAGTGCTGAAAGGGCACCCGTACGGAACATGCCTGCAACGTCTAGAGCCACACAATTGCTTTATTGCAAAAAAAATCAATCAATAATGCAGAACACAACTTTTGAAGCTTAATGCTACTGGCATTTCTTTCACCAAAAAAGCCATAAAGCCACATTTCTAATTCACTATCATCTAAATAAGCAGATCTGAAGATACCTGGCTTTTAATGGTACTTTTTATGCATTTTTATAGAAATTAGGCATTCACAACATTTTTTCATTCTACTCATTGTCTTCCTAGACCCTAGCCATTCAATCCAACATCAGAAATCCAACATCAAAGCAAATATGCTTACCTGAATATCAAAGCCACAACACATATCTTGGAAATTGGGGAGGCAGTGGTGTTTGCTTAAATCCAGGATTTTGGTTTGCTCCTTTTTCTTTAAAAAGTACCAGTCACTACCTGAGCTCAGTGTCAGAACACAATGTGATACAGAACTTTCAGGATATTTGATTTCCAGTACACTATATCGATTTACACCAAAACCAGGAGGTAGCTTCACACCCACCATCTTTAGCCCTGGCACAACAACAGTGATACAGGCTGCAACAAATGAAAGGCAAATCAGTTGATTTCTTCATCCTTTCCACCTGAATCACGGATCCTTGTTCAGGTGCGTTTCCTGCCTGATTCTTTCAGAAGGTTTCAAGTGATAAGGCATTCTACTAACTCTGCCTCAATCTTCAGCAGTGCTGCAGAATTTGAACACACACTACAACTAAGTTACTATCAATTCATAAATGTGAGACTGACTTTGATTCTGGTATCCTGTGCAAAACCTGCCCTTACACAAATGGTTTACATGACCAAGATGGAATCAATGTGTAATGTGGAAAGTAAATTAGAGTATTATTGCTCTGGTTTAAGCTTAAAAACATGGCAAGCTTTGCAAATTTCTACTTTCTAGAACAAAGGTGAAAAAGCATGGAATGCACCCTTTCTGACCACTTCAATTTTTCACCTGTTCCCTGAACTTTTTGCTCTATAGGTATGCAGAAGGAATTTGAGAATTTGCCCAAGGTGCTTTTTAAGTTCTAAGGATTGCTGAAAAAGGAAATTGAACACTGATCCGCCTTTAACGTTGAAAAACAGAGAAGAATCCCTTTTTATTGCAATGAAAAAGTGTTAACATTTCAAAATTATAGCCCTAAATTGTTTAAACTGCCAAAAAGCTCTCTCTTTACAAATATCAGAAAGTTTACAAATTCTCTTAAAATTACCAATGCTGTATGTAATCATCTACTTTGCAATATTTAAGTACTCAAATGTCTTTATGTTCTTCTCTCATACATGCACACACAAAAAAAAAAATCACTGAATGTTATTATCCATAGATTTATTTGCTTTCCCAGTAGACTACCTTAAAATCCAATTTAATATGAGTTAAAATCTGTAGTCTTGACAGGTATGGTTTTCTCATCTAGTGCTTGAAAGGCACAGTGTTCTCTGTGAAGTGCCAATGCAGCAGGAACTAACACAGAGGAGGCCTCACAGCAAAGCTTACCACCTTGCAGCAGTTCATACCAATAAAAGTTGAGTTCATACCTCTGTGATTGGTGAGGTCTCTGGATCCTGAAGGCAGAGGTGTATAGTGCATCTCTGGAGAGGTGGAGGCAGCATCGCTGGAGGCCTGTGTGATAAAATAAATACTATCAGTACTCTGAGTGAAAGCCAATGATTATGCAAAGAGGATGCACCTGTGAGATGAGTGCTATGATGTGGTTACAGGTGCACAGAGTCACCAGCCATGGAGGATTAATTTGTTTTTGTTAAGGCTGCCTGCAATCCTTCAAGGTAGCTGTACTCACAAGAGTTTACACAACTATGTTAGGTATTATTACTAAAAGAACATTTTCATATAGCTCACGGCTCCAAAAAAGTACTATCTTTATCTGGAAATCTTTAGGCAATGTTAAAAATGTTCTTCTTGGTGAAACAGATTAATATTCACCTGAAGGAAGTTATGGGTGAGTCCATGTGTAAGAAAGCAGGCAGAAAATAGAAAGCTGGGACAAAATACCACTTTTCAAAACTAAGCAAAAAAACTGATTCAGCCATTCCACTGTCCTGTGAGCTAAATGAAGGAATCTCTTAAAAACTGTAATACATACAATGCAAAAAGTAGGTGAGTATATAGAATTGTTAATAATAAACACTTTATTTAAAGAAGTAAGAACCAAGAAAACTTGCTCAGAATCCTTAAAGGCAAAATATTAAGGGAGAAGAAAGGAAACCCAAGTATTCCCCCATAATAAAAAATTCAAGATCCTGTGATTCCAATTTAAAAGTATGGATTGTAAAGCTATGGTTTGCAACAAAGTAAACTTCAACCAGTTGGATGTTTCATCTGAAGGAGAGAGCAATATAAAGCCAATACAAGGCACATATACTATCTTGGTTTTTAGTTACAGAGCAGCAGCATTAGGAGGAGATATGAAAATAAAGGATTGCATTGGTGACTATGAATCATCGTCACAGTTTTTAAAATTCACGGTAGTTATATGTTCGGTTTCAGATACAGAGTTTTCTCACGAGTGTTTACAATCTAAGTGTTTACTAAAAGTTATATGGTAATTTCTAATAGAAAAGATAAGGAAAATAAAGAGAAAAATACAAAACCCAAATTGTTTCTTGAATCTTGTGATAATTTACTAAAGGGAATCTTGAGAAAATAATTGCTATCTTCTGTGCATGTTGAAGTCAATCAAAGGAATCCACCTCAATCTTAGTTCTTATTTTTCTTATGAGTTCTTATGAGTATACTAAACTTTTGTTTTTGGAGACCAGCTATCAATTTCTGTGTCCAACCATTTTGTCTCTAGCAAAAACCAGGTCATAACATGAAGACACATCATGCATCACAACAAACACCTTAATAGAGACAGATTTCCCTAAACAGTAAGGATGCTACTTAGCAGATACAAATAAAAATCTACAAAATCCCACCTCTGCTGACTCACCAGTGATAATGCACCCTTTTCAGAGTACCTCCTTTTCAGAGAAGTATGGACACAACTCTCACCTTCAACTAGAGTGGATAATACTTTGATTTTAATGAACTGTAAACATGCAGCTCAATAACTGGACTATGAAGTATTGGAAATGTTCCCTCTAATGACCAATATGAGCTGCGGGCACATAACATCTCAGAGGATGAGATAGATGCCCATAATACCCAGAGATGTGACATCTGAAATGAATTCCAAGAACAGACATCTGTTTACAACTATCTGTTTTCTTTGGTCCGAGTTGTTCTGGGTAAGACAGGAAGAAAAATGTCACTAGCTATTTAACATAAGACTGCATCCCTGTAAATAAATCACTCCAAAAGCTAGAGGAATAAGTGGTCTCATACTGTACACTCTAGATGTTATCTGCCTATTCAAGTGTACTTATTTGGGACTCTGATAATAGTGAAGGTTTCTCTTTGGTACTTTTAATCTCAATTTAGACTGTTGACAGCTTGATGATAGCTTTTCCTAAAATTACTGGAAGAGACTTTGCCTTTTCAGCAATATACCACTGAGTGAGCAAAATTCAAGAGCTTCTAAAAAGGATATTGGAGTGAAGGGACAATTTAGCTTTATTTCCAATTTTAGGAAAAGCAAGAAAAGAAGAGCTTGTTTATTGGTGTTTTGCTGTTATTTTATGTACAGTATATAATTCCCTGTCAAATATAGAACAGTTTTCATTACCTTTGAGCTAAGCGTTCAGTTAGAGCAACTTTAATTCTGTGGAATACCATCCAGGGTTAGGATTGTTTTGCACAAACACTGTCTGGAGTTATGAATCACGTATCTGAGTAAGCCTGTGCACCACCAGAAAGACAACTATTTGTTTTCCCTACCACATACTGATGTTTGGCCCTAAGCTATTTTCCAAAGAGATTTGTATAGATTGTATTATTCTTAATACTCAGAGGAATATTTTGACAGCGATAGCATTGACATGTGACAGTTATGGCTTCAAATATTGGTGACATATGCATCCGAAGTTCTTGCTGCAATGGAAAGTAACTACAACTGCAAATAGCTTTGAGGAAAGCTGGTTAAAGTGGGAAGTAGTTTCAGTCCTATAGGAACAGGTCACTAAATACCTCAGTAAAGAAATTCTACCAGTTCTATTACAGGAGAAGCTTGTTTTCTTTCAAGCATTAAAGTCATCCAAGTTTTACAGTATATCATAGTACAACATATAAAAGTTACAAGCCAATAAAGTTAGACTACTCACAGCCAAAGGTACACACGTAACAAACATTTGCTAAATTGAGGTATCTCTGTCTTTGTATTAACCTGTAAGTTTTTTCCAAGCTAAGAATTGTTGTACTTGATAGTAAAGAGACATTGTAAGAGAGAACTAGATTTTCAAATTATGTTCATCAAAATTACAGATACTTTAGAAGCTGCAGTAGGAAGAGAAACAAACAGCAACCAACCAACAAAACACTAAAAAAAAAAAAAAAACCAACCCAAAAAAACCCTCAAACCCTAAACTTTATGTAATTTTATATAAAATAATGGTTATTGTTTAGGAAATTCTACTTTCTGTTGATGAGTAAGATGTGGTTATTAGGCTATATTGTCTATAACAGAATATTGTTAATACCCGTTGATAGTTGATATTCTTCTGTTTGTGGCACATAGCTTGTATTTGCATCCCAGAATTTCTCAACTAATACTTACCCTTATTTCTAAGGCATGCCACAAATTCTTTACACACCTAGACATATGCCCTGCATAGAGTAACTTTAGGAGCCATTAATGTATTACACCTGACAAATTTTACAATACAAGAAGAACATCAGCATGTTGGCACGTTCCTGACAAGGTGTCATGGTTTCAGTTGGGATAGAGTTAACTTTTTTTACTAGCAGCTGGTATAATGCTATGTTTTGGATTTGGGATGAGACATACTTTTTTGACAGCATGCTGGTGGGTTTAGTTGTCACTAGGCAATCAAGGCCCTTTCTGCTCCTCGAATCACCCCTGCCAGCAGGGAGGCTGGGCTTGCTCAAGAAGTTGGAAGGAGACGCAGACAGGACAGCTGACCACAACTGACCAAAGGGCTCTATATAGTATAGTATATATCAGGATATAAAGCTGAGGGAAGGAGGAGGAAGGGGATGACATTCAGGGTGATGACATTTGTCTTCCGAAGTAACCATTTTCTTGTAGATGGCTGAACATCCACCTGCTGATGGGAAGCAGTGAATTAATTGCTTTTTTTGCTTTGCTGGCCTGTGTGGTGTTTGCTCTACCTATTAAACTGTCTTTGTGTAAACCCATGATTTTTTTTCTTCCTCTTACTCTTCCAAATCTCTCCCCCATCCAAACTGGGGGGAGTGAGCAAGCAGCTGCATAGTCCCAGCTCCCGGCTGGGGTTAAACCACAACACAAGGGTTCCATAGATTAGAAAGATTTTAAGCATTTGGGATTTCTCCTTTGCAACATGTTTCTCATCTAGTATGGGAATATCTCAAATCTCCAGCGTTTCACAGTGTGACTCATTTTTTTCAGGGAACTGATAAAGAGGAAATTTTCTTAGGGACAGCATGATACTCACTCTCTAAGTCTGACCCACAATTATCAAGAATTCTTGTGTTCTGTGATACTGTTGTTTATTTTCATTCATCACAGTTTTAACACTTGTCAAAGTCATCTAGTAAGGTCACAGAGAAATGACCTTAGCAATTTGAAAGCTCATTGCTTCTCATTTAGTGATTTACATTCAAATAAAAATGGAAAACAATATTGTGACATTGCAGCAATGAGCCCAATGGTACATATCACATTATCAGATGCAAAACTTGGATTTAGTAAGAAAGTATGATTTATTTCAAAAGATTTTTAATATATCCACAGGGAAACTACAATTAAGAATGAAGGAAATCACTACATTATCCATTTTTTAAGCTGACAAAAACATTTCTCCAGAAAGGTATATGATTAATGGGACAATCTGTGGTTCAGTTCCAACTTAAAGGATCAGCTCATACTTGCTTTTGAAAAACTTTTCCTTTTATGTAAACAAACAGTAAAATTTTCCTGATAAGCTTATTCTGTCTCAGATGCACTCAAAGCTTAAAATTAATCATACTTTAACAGATACATGGCTTATTACAATTTTAAGAAATGTCTGCATAAACATCTACTTCGGCTGAGGACTCATTCTGGATCTCCTGGGCACACACATCTTCCCCAAGAGACACAATGGCAACAGTCATCAATAATTCATACAAATTTTGAAAACTTGCCTAAACATCTGTGTACCCATACGTCAGCAAGGTGTCAATTCAACCCCTTTGTGACACTGACAGCAGCAACTCACATATCTTAACCCATGAGTATAATTCGGTCATAATTCATTCACATTTGTGATAAAATGTACAGAAACTTTCCATGGAACTTCTCCCTCAAGTTTCTTTTCCCCAAAATTTTAGACATATCTAACTAGGCATTAATTTTTTAAAATTTAATATATATATAAAGATCATATATAAATATGCAAAAAAAACCATAGTCTGCTTAATAACAGAAAAAGATTTAAAGGTATTCATTTTGGGTTGGATTTATGACATGCTTGCAGAGAGTATCAAAACACTACTTTAGAGGGACTGTTTCTTCCCTTGAG